ATATTCGAGAGCAACGCCATTGCACACTACGGTAACTCCAAAGGCCTCTGCTTGTCAGCTTTACCCAAAGGGATTCAATAACTCCAAAGGCCTCTGCTTGTCAGCTTTACCCAAAGGGATTCGGGGTTGGGTCAGGTTTATAAGAAATCCTTGATCGGGGGTGGACAAATGAAATACACAGAGATTGAGGGCAGTTAGGTGACAGGAAAACACTGATAGACCGGAAGAAATGGTTTTGTAGAAGCTTTCACAAAGGGTCACTGTATGATGCTAGCTCTCCTTGTCCTGTTTTTATTTCATTTATAACTTACTCATATTTCTTTTATGCTTGGTTGTCTATTTGGAGAAACTTCATTATTCTCTGAGGGTGTTAGCCCTTAACCACCAGCCAAAAAAGCCATCTTAGAAGCCCCTGGAGTAAAAATTCTTTAAAATTTTTTTTAGGTATGGGTTTCCCACCCCCAAAAAAACTCTTGAAGCTGGAGAAGATCTAGATCTGGTAGACATCAGCTCCCATGGTTCTCAACTAGGATGGCCCATAACTCCATTGATCGGAAATTAGAGAAATTGTGGTTCAATCTGTTTGAAGTTTCCAGCGTATTCTTTGTGATTGTTGGTTCTTTAACTGGTCGGATTTCCTCTCCCAGTCAGCAATGAAGAACTACGAGGTGCAACTAAAGAATCAGCTGCCCAGGTCCTTCAGTGGGTGAGCTTTGCCGACAGTGACATTGTGCCTCCAGCCAGTACCTGGGTCTTCCCCACCCTTGGCATAATGCAATATAACAAGCAGGTAAGTGGCACAATAGTTTTATCCAGAGTTAGACTTATTTCAGTGCGTATAGTGCTATTTCCCAACCATCCAGGTAGCTAGATGGGGACAGAAATCTCTTTGCTTGGATGGATGCATGCGTTTTGCTAATCGTGAAGTTCAGAGTAGACAGGTACTTGAAAACAGAAGTTTGTTAACATTTTGCAGTCTGTGTCAATATATTGAAATAGTGTTTTATATTCCTGGAAAGGCAATCTGGCTTTTGACAGCCTTTAGGTTCTATGACTCTGGAGTTGTCTGCTGGCCCGAGCCATTGCTGGGGGGGTCCCCCTAAAAGTTTTTGCTTCCCCTGCAGGCTACGGAGTCTGCCAAGGAGGAAGTGAAACGGATCTTGAGCCTCCTTGATATCCACCTGAAGACGCGGACATTTTTGGTCGGGGAGCGCATCACGCTGGCGGATATCACAGTTGTCTGCACTCTGCTCTGGCTTTACAAGCAGGTGAGTCTCTGTAGGTGGCAGAGGAGCACCTAGGGGGTTGCTGAGGTGTTTGGGAATGCTTGACTTTCAGCAGGTGGGAGAAGAAGGAGCAGAGCTGGACGCCTTCCGCTTTTCTCCCCCATGAGGAGTTACGTCTTTGAGGACAAGAGCCTTGTTAGATCTTCTGGTGGTGCAAGCAGTGCCTTCCTTGAATCAGCAGTTGCCAAGCCGAAGTAGTGCAGGGTTAAGAGCATGGGGATCTGGTTTGAGGCTCATTTTTTTTACTACCCCAACTTTGAGGGTGTGTGGGAGAAAAGGGGCTTCTCTCCCCCATGATGGAAGTCCATGTCGCAGGGTGAAAGACCCTGAGAGCTGGTTGAAGAGCCGTCAGCAAGAAAAACAGAGGTTGCTGGTGGCTGCATGTCTGGTTGGTTTGAGCTATGGTTTGTTCAAGCCATCTGACAGGATGGTGACACATTTGAGCTACCTGTTGTTCAGATCAGTCAGACTTTTTGACGTGCAAATGCAAGCAGACGGAGCTAAATTGGAAGGTTTGGGCCCTGCCTTCAATCCTTCCTTCCCAAAAAGGTTCGCAGGGAAGTCATGCAAGCTTAAGGATTGCTGCCATAGCGCTGCAGTGTAGTCCAGTGTTAAAAAATTAGCACATGCAGACATGGCCAACTACAATGATACCTTGTTTTAAATTCTGTAAGTGGAGAAGTGTAGCCCAGGCGTCCGTCTCTCTCCCTCTACACAGCTACGCCCTCCAAAATTTTACAGCATTTTGCTGCAGGTTTTTATACGTCTCTTGTGCACAGGTAAGCTTTAAGGTCAATGGGACAATGCAGTGAAATCATAAGAACAGCAGCAGAAGGAACATCCCTGATGAGTTTTAACAGTCAAGAGGTTGAGCTGTCAACGATTAAGAACAGTGCTGTGTTTATAGTATTTTTGAGTTATGTACACCTAACAAAAGCCTTGAGAAGTGTAAACGGGAAGAATTTCATGCAGTAGGTGGTTACAGGCAGATAAAGGTTGAGCTCCATCTGAGACACTTAATCTCTTCTGTGGTGAGGAAAGATCTGAGGATGCTTTGGAAGAACAGTGGAAAAATGGGGAGGAAAATTCAAGGGTTGAGGAACGAAACAGAAGAAAATACAGAGGTAGGATTGTCCTTTTCCAAAACTCAAGATGGCCATGAGTAAATCCAGGGAAAATGAGAAGAGATGTTTCTTCTTAAAGGTGCAGTAGCAGGAATAAAATACAGCAAAATGTAATAGGGTAAAAGACTTTTGAAAAGTCTATAATGCTGGGAAAGGTGGAAGGAAAGAGAAGAAGAGGATGACACAGTGGTTTCAATTATAGTGGTG